AAAGGTCGACATGGAAGTATGCAGAATGATCAGTTACACTGTGGCCAGCTCCAAGAAATCAAAGTGGCAATGAGCTATTCAACTTGGAAAATAGATCGTCAACACAGTGACAATTTGCTGAACGGATGCACTGAACTGAGTTTTTAATCTGTAGGTCATATATCATTAATTTTATATATTGAGCTCGAGATGTGGAAAATGAAGTTAAGGTTACTTCCCACCTTCAAGAGCACAAAAAATTGTTTTTTCTTTTATTTGACAAAATATTATTAAGTCAGTCATTTTATCATTTTTAAGTTTACGAAAGAAAAACTTTTTTAAGTTTACAAAAGAAAAATATTAAAAGTCTCAAAAGGTGGCCGAGTTATTTTGAAAAAAGTATTTTCAAATTAAGTTAATAAACCAGGAAGGTGTCATAATCGCTTAAATGGTCAAAACTGCCAGGGGAAATTTTCGTGGCAAACGCTCATCTTGGACCTTGAATTTCACTTTATTTGGTATTCTTTATATCAGGCATTTGTTCTTTTTCCTTTGGCTACTTTTTTCGTTTGAGTGTCTTTCTCTTTTCAATGCCACAGCGGGATAGAAAACATGGTGCGATGCGATGCTTTCCCCGGGAAATCCTGATCCATTGTCATTGACGCTAGGAGGTCCTGTTGTTCCATTGGTTTGCGGTTTCATAAGGCGAGATAATCTCCTGTCATGGCACGAGTTGTTTACGAACCTTTACGAGTTAAAATCTTGCATTTGATTTTGGGAGGAATACATCCACTTTGGACGAATTTATGCGGTATGTAGATTTGACAGATTTTTGTGAAATTTCGCCAGAACATTGCAGGGATAATGACAAACAAACGTGCGTCGGGAAATTTGGATATTTAACATAATTTTTCCATAGCGTCCATTTACGCAACACGTCTTTCATAGTTTTAGCTACTTCAACTTTAGATGCGGATATCTAGAAAACCAATCGGAACATCAAAAAAGCCTAACACACTTTTGTTGACTGATGCCATGTGAATAAGACTGTGCAGCAATTTTGCTCGTGTGGTGGCATCCGATAGCCGATAAATTCAATAGTCATTTCACACCTTACCGGCTCCTGACACTTCCTAAAAGAAAAACTTGCTTAAATTGAATTTTCATCGTAAACTACATTTATTAAGTTTTCTTCTGATGTTAAAAAAGTTATAGTTTGTTGGGGTTTTATTGAAACCGGTACGCATATGAATTTTTTCCCGAAGGACAGCCGTGAATGTGGGAAGTAACCTTAAAGCCCTCTAGCTTTGTCAACAAATAATGCAAAACACAATTAATGGCAAGGGAATAAGGAGATGTGACACTGTTGAGCACATTCATGAAGTCATCCTTGTCTGTGATGTTACCAAAAAGAAAGTACGACTTCTTATGTGATCATTCAAGGTACATGTCACTTACTGGGAGCTACTTTATTACTGGATACATGTACATGACCAAGTAATTGACAAAAATAGGTCTCCAAAGGGTATTTGTGTACTGGCAGGCAATTTGTTAAAGTATTAAGTCCCGTGCTTGCTACAGTGATGCTTATGTCCTGTTCTCTGTGCTCATGCTGCATGCTGAGATGTATGTAGTGGCATCTGATGTCGACTAAATTGTCTGTCATGCAATGGTCAATTGATAGGATTTTGTCACACATTGCCAAAAATGGATATGAGAATGATGAATTGAAAGATTTAATAAGATGTTCAAAATAAACAATTTTTATTTTAAAGCTACGTGAACATACCTTTGCAACACTTCATGTGGAAAGTGAAAAGGAAAATTGTAAAAGAATCCAAACGTGACCTATCAAATATTGTGCAGAAATTTCCCCGGCAGAGAAACTGCATTTTCTTGTTTTGGACTGTTTCTTTTGTGATGCACATTTGGAGTGCCAACTTTCAAGAACACTGCTTCAATATCTCTAGAGATATTGTTTATTCAGTATTTTACCATTTCTTAGTTGCAAACAACATGACGTCATAACTGCTCTAATTTGCATAATGCAAAAACGTCAATATCCCTAAAACGAAAAACGATATTGCAAAAAGAAAAACGCCATTCTTCTGTATTTTGAAAGGCCTTTCTAGTAAGCAGAAATTATTTTTCATGTCATGTACACTTTAAGGAGAAAAAAAAAAAAACAGGAAAACCTCTGGTGGAACATTTCTAAGTTATCCTCTTATATATATTTAGGGCTCCAAAGCACTTTCAGGTACGACGAAATTAAACATTGTCAACACCATGCATGTCTGTTAACTGATGGCTGAATGTCGTTGTTAGATACGGTCGAACCTCTCTAAAACGGCCACCTTGGGGAAAGAGGAAAGCCGGCCGTTGTAGATAGATGCCCGTTAAGGAGAGTGTAAATAATATATGTTATGACGCATGTATTTTTTT